TTGTAGGCTTTTATTTTGTTTATGGTACTTCATTGCAAAAGTTTACTAAAGGAAAGCTAAACTTGCTAGGCTAGGCTTCTTATGTTACTAAAGATATTATCAGATTATCTTTAAATCTATAAAGTAACCAAATTAAAAAACTTTTTCATCTTTCCAGGAAAGTTTATTTTCAAAATTTAGATACATGGATTGCTGGAGATTTATATAAAATATAAAAAAAAAAAACATATGTGAATTTATGGAAACATTGGGGTAACAACCTTTTCAACCGGCTTAAAAACATTTAAACATAGTAACCTTAAAAGTGTAGAGACACTTATACCCATATCTAAAACGATTGGATCAATATTTAATAATTTAATTATGCATTTCCATAGATATATATTATAATATATAATACATATATTATATATATAATATATATATTCAAATATATAATAAGATTGGCAAATACTAAAATGTTGTGCTGGCTACAACTACATTTCAACCAAACAACACAGTTTTAGACATCAATCTATAGTGTAACCATATTTAGTAAAAATTAATAAAGAAAATTTTGCATATAAATTTTCAAGTCATACCATATTATTTCTATTGCTTTCTTATAGCACTTTTTAATATAATAAATTGTGTGTTAAGTAAACACAAACACAAAAAAAATTATTATTATTAAAAAATTATTATTATTATTCAAAATCAAATTACTATAATTACTTTAACGATAATTATCAGTTCCACCATATGCAAAGAAGAAGAACCAAACAATCTTTCCCAGGAACGCTAAAACTACCTGGATTAAGACAATAACAACAAAATATCATATATATGTTCATATGTATGTTATATGTATATATGTTTATATATATGTATATAAAATAGCATATATTTCACTTTACTATAGTCGCCAGCGACTATTACTTAATTGTTTTTTGAGGATCCAGAAGACGAATTTTTCGGGCGGTTTTGGACTTAATATTCTTGGTTTAAACAAGATCTCCATTTTTTACGTGTAAGTAAACCTAAAGCTAGAAGAAAACTACTGATCGTTTCTAGAATTTTCTCTCTATTTCATACCTAAATTGTTTATTCTTTAACACTACTTCTTTATTTCTCTTTTTTTTTTTTGTATTCAGATGATATTGTTGTTGTACTTTAACAACCCAGAAATGCTCAGAAAACTTAACCCCACTAAAGCGAACTCTGTGCGAGTTCGAAGCAACACAAGTAATAAAATGAAAAATATTAAAAAAAAACCACTTAAATCTACTAGAACTTGTGCTCAGTGCACAGAAGTTCATGCTATGCTCAAGAGTTTTTGAAGAACGATTAAGTCGAAATGCATTAAGTGACGACATTGACCTAAAGACTTGAATGACCTTTTCTGACATTCTCTTCATCGTATGCAATCTAGCATTTTCTCTTGACTTAACTACGGTCTATGGTTTTCATAGCTTACAGCTTATAGCTCGTAGCCGATAGATAGCCTGCAGCACGTACAATTTAACTTCTTCTTAATTGAATTGTAATTTAGCTTTAAAGCGATTAGATCATGTATCTTATCTGAAGGATTTATAAACAGTGCCTACAAAGTGAGAGCCTCTTGAATACATAAAAACAAAAAAAAAAGAATATATATAAACAGAACTGTCAACGCCATCGAATTCACTGCGAAAAAGAAGTTGGAACTTAAATGGAATGACGATGGCCATGGCATGGCGGCTTGCATGCTTAAATGTGGTAAAATCAGTAAAAATTACTTAATCATTTTGAATGTCCATTTCTTTCTATGCTTTTTCTACACATAGATTGTGTTTCGGGTGTGGCATTATTAATTTTCCATATGTCTTCGAACATTTTAATTAAATATTTTATGTTGAAAACTGAAAATATATATTTTCATTCTCATATGAGCATTTTCCCTAACCGCTAAACAGAAACAATTCACATTCATAGTTCACGGCGGATATGGAAAACCGTATTAAATATATTAATTAATTTTTTCGAAATCGCTGCTTTACTATTCTACAAAGCAACGGTGACGTCATATAAAATATGCAAAGAAACAAATTAATTTAATAATACCAGTGCAAAATTATAAAGAAATGCGTAAGCGGGTAACACCGACTTTTTGGTTAGCTACAATCGGGTCGAGTTGAGGATAAACAGTGAATTTAAGTATTTTATATATTTTTATTTTATTAAAAGATCATATTCTTATAAAACTTTTATTAAACTATTTAAACTCCTTAAACCTTAAACTGACCTACCTTTAAATATAAAATAGAAGTGAGCTTGGACGGGAATCTCAAGAAGTTAAATTTCAAACAATAGTTTAACAATAGTATAATAGAGTATAAAGTTAATGTATATCAAAAAGTTTTTCTTTATTAGCACTTGGGATGTTTTGTGTTAGTATGTAACTCTTTTTAGTCAAAAAAAGATGAGCCTGAGTCGCTAATTAATTAATTAAATATGTGAAGTAATAACAGCCCTAGTTGATATGACTTAATAAGGTATAAGAATTTATATAAAATGCTATCGAATACAACTTTTTAAAAATAGGTGATTGTAGTGAAGCTATCCGCGAAGAATTGTGTATTTTAACATCAAAATAATGAGATAATCAAAGTGGTTTTGAAATTTTTGTGCAATATATTATGTAAATCTCCTAAAGGTTTCATATTTCAAGCCATTAGCAAACTTCTCAAACTCTTTTCAGTCTAAGAGTTTCATATACATCTAATACTGGACATTATGAATTATAAAGATATACGGATAATTTAAGCTTATCTAGGAAATACATTAGAAATACATAATAGATTAATAATAGATTATAAAAAAAACGGGGTTAAATAAAGTGCTAGAAACAATGAATCATAGTCTTGCATTAAAGATAGAATTGGTTTAATTGTTTATAAGAGAAGTATATTACTATAACCACATCTATCCATCTATATTCTTTGTTATATTGCATTTTTATCTTTTTACTTATTGCAACCTATTAAACTATTTATCTATTTATATAACTATTTATATATACATATATATAACTATCTATATATACCTATAACTATCTATATATATAACTATATACATATACCTATCTATTTATGTGTATATCTATAAAGATATTAATTGATCTATTATTGTCTATTTTACTTTTTATCTGTATATGTATATATCTATATGACTAATTGCTTATCTATATATATCTATTTTTTCATGTATCTATTTATATATCGACATAATGTATTTATATCCATTTATATAATATATTTATTTGTATATTTATTTTTTATTTATATATTGTTGTCTATTTTTATATTTTATCATTTATGATTTATTCAACTATCTATCTTTCTCTTTATCTATCTATTTCTCTGTATGTCTATCTACATATTTATCTTGTGGTGAGAATCAACAACACAATCTATTTATTTATTTATTTATCTATCTATTTATCTTTTTATCTATCTATTTATATCTTTATCTATTTATTTCCTTGTATGTTTATCTACATATGTATCTATTTATTTGCTTATCTATCTCTTTATTTATTTCTCTGTATATCTGTCTATATAGTTAAACATTTATTTATTTATTTATTTATCTATATATTTATATCTTCATATATATATTTCTCTGTATGTCTACCTATATATTTATCTATTTATTTGTTTATCTTTCTATCTATTTATCTATTTATCTATCTATTTCTCTGTACGACTGTATGTATATTTAAATATTTATTAATTTATCTATCTATCTATTTACCTATTTATCTATCTAACTATTAATCTATCTATCTATTTATCTACCTATATATTTACTTTTAGGTTTATCTATGTATTTATTTATTTATCTGTCTTTCTTTTCATCTTTATCTGTTTGCATACGTATTTATTTAGATAAATATTTACATATTTAGATAAATATCTATCTATTCATCAACTATATATCTAACTGTGTATCTATTTGTCTATCTGTCCATTCATTTATCTATATAACAATCTAAGTATTTATATATCTATCTACATATTTATCTATTTTTTTATTGTTTATAAAATAATAGTTTTATGATCAATATTTTTTGTAGAATTTTTAATTCTAAAAATGAATTTTTGGGTTACAAATAAATACCCACACAAACTAAGAAATCCTAGATCTAATAAGCTGCTTAGATAGCTGCTTGAGAGAGATTTACTTGTGACTTTATACTAGATAGGCTTGTAAATAAATACCCCTAAATTACGACCCAGAAAGTGTAGTGAGATTTAACTGTACTGTCAATAATTCGAATTGAATTTTTAATACATTATATTTAAACTAATATCACACATCAGAGCCCAGAGCCCAGAAACTCTTCAGCATGTTACACTGTTTTTATGAAACATAGAGAATCAATTGGTGTATGTGAGACGAAAATATCTGTTTCTTCTACAATTTCGTTTAATTACAAGTTCTTAATTGGTTGTAATAAATGGCGTGAAAGTTTTCTATGAATGCGTAACTCATAAAATTACAATGGAATTAACAATACAAAAATAAAATGAATTTCAATTTGTATAGTTTGCATAAATTCTGAAATTAATAGAGTGTAAAGAAACATAGCTATTCGCTCGTACGGTGAAAATCATGGAGGAACGAGAACCCAGCATTGTTTACGTTGTTTTGTTGTAGATGAGTAATTACGTAAGCGTTGTTCACCGCTTTCGCTGAGCTTCACCAAGAATAATGACGAAACTGTCAAAAAATATTATATCAAAATAAAACTAGTTTACCAAAACTATGTAGATAGATAGATGATAGTATGCTATAGTATAGAAGCTTTAAGTAAAAGTTTTAGGCTTAAAATTTACAGATGAAGGAAAAGAACTATACATAAAAAAGCACTCGTTTAAATGAGACTTTAGATATTATTATTTTTTTAAATTTAATTTCTTAAGAAGAAGAAGATATTTTAATTTAAATATAAGAAAAAAATGTTTTGATTTACTCACCTTGCGATATGCGAATAATTCCTTTTGTAGTCTTTGCCGCTCAGCTGAAGGCTGCTGGCCTTTACCTCGAATAAACTTTAGCATTTTGATGGTGGTTCCACTTTTGAAATTATTTACAAAATTATATTTTGATTTACAGGAATAACTTAAAATAAATAAAAATAAAAAATTATAAATAAACAAAATGAAAATATATGCATTAAAAAATTAAATTACTAACATTTATACAAAGTTTCGAAAGATAACAGACAACAAAAATAGATAGTAGTGTAATGTTACTTCTATTATACCGAGACGTTTACCCTAAGAGAAACCCAACTTCAGCGGATCAGCGTTCTAACTAAAGTTAGTTCCGTTTTAAGTTTATTATTTTTTTTAGGGAACAGAGAGGAATTGAAGACTGTTGTTAAACACGCTTATGTTCTACATGGACTGTATAGTCACGCATGATGATGAGTTATTTTAGAGGGGCCAAGCTTCACACTGGACCTTGGCATTTTATTTATTCTAATTTTATTTATTCTAATTTTATTCATTCTAATGCTAACAAAGAAATTAATTAGAGAATCAAACTATACTTAAAAGAAGGGCAACAAAAGTCTTCAACTGTTTATTAGTATAGTTCTAATCTCTAAAATAGCTATTAAAAATACATCCTATAGCTAAATATTTAACTAAATATGTATATTTATTTTAATTCGAAACATAAGTTTAAATGCATATTAAAAAATGCATATTGACAAGTAATTGATAAATAATTAATTTGTAATATAAAGCTAAATGTAATTATTTTTTGCTTCTTATTATTTTACGGTAAACTAAGTCTGTAATCTTACTATATACTAAGACACACAAAATCATGAGAGTAGACAAATGATCATATATGGCGACGGACCCCTTTCCCTAAGAGTGTGTGTGAAGTCATATTTTCTAAAGAAAGAGGGACCCTAGGATATGCATCCCCTGAATCTGATTGGTCAATGATGAAGATATGATATGAGCGTCTATATGCTCATGTAAGCTATTTGATCTTTTTGTTTATTTTTTTTTTTTATTAAAAAATATAATAAAAATTATTGAAGGGAATTTTATTATGCCATTGGAATAACTTTTAACTAATAATAACTTTTTTTTTGTCTCTTTACTTTTTATGAGGGCAATCCTGAAATATTACACACATTATACTGCTTTCTGAATACGTCTACGTAGAAAATACACTACTATATATACATAAACGATATATATATATGAAAATGAAACTAATAATTTTTAACTAATTTAGTTTTTCAGTGAATATATATATTATAATAATTCTAATACTTAAGATATAAATACTAACATCGAGGATACTAAGTACATCACACGTTAACTGTAATCGGACATTGGACAGTTTAATTAACTTAGTTATTATTTTGTTATAAAAAATGTCCAACGAAATAAAAGTAAATACATATTTACATATAAAAAAACATAAGACTAAGCTGGTTTATGTGAACTTTTAAAAAGAGGCTGTAATATGTTTATTATTATTATTCTCGAGTGCTATACATTTTGGGATTGTTATAGTAATTTAAAGGGACTTGACTGAAAGTCAAGTACATAAAAGATTTATTAACCTGCAGCAAAGAGTAAATTTCATTTTGCATTGTCCTATAAAAGTCCTGCGCGTTTTTTTAGTTTTTCTTTTTAAAGTTGACATTATATATTATTTCAGCAGAAGCACGTTTTCAGTAAAGATTTCTTTTTTAAATTTATTCAGAAAATTGTACCATACTATCTATGATATGTCATACACTATATATTATTTAATTCAAAATTTTAATTACAACAATTATTTCCAAAAGACCATTGATGATCGCCAATACCCATTATTACCCATCATTACTCGAAACAGCTGTATGATCATACAAAAATTCAGTTAATTAATAAATAATAAAATTTTATTGTTGTGATTCACTATTGTCCAAAATTGGTTTCTTTCGTCATAATTGACCTTAAAAATCAAACTTAAAATACAAAATTATAAATAGATAAAAAGGTCTATGGCCGCTATAGACGATATAATTTCTTAATGCTAGAGTGCATAGTCTCATATAAGCACTCAATTTTGCGAAACTCTTAATAGAAGAGGCGATAATACACGACCAGGAACTGATATTCTTTTAGGTTGGGGAATATATTATGCCAACTGCGATCTAAATACCGACATCCAAAAATTTCAAATAGAAGATTGTTCACTATTCTCGATTGCAGAATTTCTTTAAATCGAAAGTATATATGTGTTACCACTTTAAGTTCGTATGAAGAAGGTTCTTCGCTTTTTAAAATTACAATTAGTAAAGGTGATGATAGACTCTAGTAGAGGAGAGTTTTTGTAACTTAATTTTTATAAGAAGAAATATGCTGAGAAGAAATATCTGAGTGCTTAAATCTTTTTTTTTTTTTGTTATAATAAGAATCGAAATGTTTGGGTTTGGTAGTATACGTACTAAATGAAATGTAATGATATATATATGGACGTATGGAATTTTTCTACGAATGGATATTCAATATTTTAACATGAAACAAGGAGTAAGTAGCGTAACATGCAATATATCTATTTTTTTATTAATGACAATTAGAAGAACAAAAACAAAAAGTCCAAATCTGGTAAACATCTCTTCCTGAGTAATTTATTTAAGATTAATTATGTGGGACTATAACTATCGCATAACTATCATTCTTCACCTCCCTCTTCAAAATATTTGTATATGTTTGCAGCACAGATTTAGGTGTAGGTGGCAATTTCTAAATTCTTATATTAGAAAGTTATAATTTGTCTTAAAGACACAAAAGTAGAACCTGACAATTTGTAGCCCACAGCAGTTTTCACAGTCAAAAGTCGTAAAATAAAAAATGAAAAACAACAGCCAAAGGCGAGCTTAAATCTGTGCGCTGAAATTGTATGAAAATCTTTTCCTTCAAACCAAAATTGAATCTAAATCTTCAAAATAGAAGCATTGAACTGACAAAACCCGTTCAACAAGTTGCGCTGCTGAACCTTTCGATTTGGCGTGGAATCAATCGACTTGGATACTTGCGGATACCGGTGCCGCCGCTGCCATTGTCGTTGTCGTTACTGCTGCTGCTGCTGCGGCTGCGGCTGCGGCTTCATGTGCTTAAATTTACATAGATACACACAAAAAGCCTCAAACAGTTTTACGTGGGCACTTAGAAGACAAAATGGAAATTTTAATTCGATTTTCATATTTCTACACTCTTGTCTTTCTTTTACGTGAGTTTCTGTGATCATAGTCAAGACCAGATTCTTCTATAAGTTTTGCAAGATTCTCTACTCAAGCTACTTCAGATCAATTTTAGTTATTTTAAATCCTTTGAAATTGATAAAGCGAGCAACTATTTAAGATAAATTTAATTTTATGAAATAAGATTTTTTTTTATTTTATATATATATATATATATATTTACATTGGGTTGCATAAAAAGTATTAAACATTTTATTCATTTTTCATGTTTCTACAACTAATAATTGATTACATACAATTTTTTTTTTCTCTCCTTCAATTCAATTCAATCTTCCTCTTCTTATATACATATAAATTACACAATACTACTACTTTATAATAATAATTTACTTAGGAATGAAGTCTCTAATAGTGCAGAACAATAAACAATAGTGAAAACAATAACCCAATATGGTTCGCTCATTAAATATATCCTAACTTCTTGGTATCATCGTCCTAACAATATTTTAAACTACTTCCATTATTAATTAACAGCATTAATGCCAAGCTGGAGATGTGATGAAGAATTTTCATTGCCATTAGGTGTCACAAAGTGCACAGAAGGTAATTGAAATATAGAACTATCTCTCGACCAACAAAACTTTTGCTCTGTGGTTTTGCATGGCGCAAAAGCATGAATGCTATCACAGATTAATGCAATAGCACATCATGCAGCGAGTTCGTTCAGCATTCAGCAAGTTTGCTGGCTTCATTAAGTTGTGAGACGACGATGCTCCAAATAAAATCGGATGAAAAGTCTTCGATGAAATGATCAAATTGAGGAAATACTAATCTCTAATCTTAGTGGAGGAGAATTACATGCAGCCGGGACAGGAGTAATGTGGCAGACCGAAACCTGATAATTACTTGTAGTGGCCACATTAGTAAGTAAGATATAATATTAACTTAGTCTTTAACATAAACGATCATAAAAGAATATTAGAAATAAGCTGATCATATCAGTTTCTATATTACTTATTTATAAAAGTTAACAATTATTAAAGGTAAAGTTTCTTCATTAGGTATTAGAAAACTTCCATTACTAACATTATTTCCATTACTAACAATTTTTTCTCTTCCTATATTACGTAAAAAAACGCATTTATTTTTTAACATGGATGTAGTTTAGATACTCGAAGTAGTGGTATTAATTCATCTATATTTATTGTCCACTAGTAATGCTAAACAAGTGATCACCCTTATATCCACCTTTTGGCTACTTGCATATCCTTAAGGATTTTATAATGATGAAGCCCTAAAATTATTTGGAAACCCACAAAATATGTAACATATCATAAAATAAACACTTGTGGAAACAAGTCGCTTTACATCAACTTCGAATGATTGTCTTAAGCACTAAAGTTATTGGAAAAATATTAAAGGTCACACAAAAACTGTCACAGTGTGAGATTTGAACCCACTAAAACCACTTCTTAGGAATGAATGGAGAAGATTTCCACAGCATTTAAGAAACTTCATTGCGGTAATCAGGGGAGCGAGATGTAAACATATGGGCTTGATATCACATTATTTATGTCTATTATGTATTGTATAATTTTTTGGAAAACTTATTTAATTTAAATTTCAACTAATTTTAATTATTCCCATTGCTATTAATCTCTTCTATTTTGCCACTATCCTCGCGGTATATTCCGTTAGCCAATGGTATTTACATCTATTAAAGGTGATGGTATCATGCATCAAATTCTTATTAAAAGAACATAAACTGGATGACGATCTACATCTCTGCACGAATCTACTGATTCGTATATGAAAATCAGTACGGGTACATGTACTGAAAATATATTTGTTAATCTCTATTCGATTACAACAAAATTGCATAGAAAACTAAGTTATCTGAAATAGAATGTCAGAGGAAAGTACTGAATAAAGAACCTCGACGAGTTGACCATTGTATTAACATGCATAGTATTCTCTATGTGCTTAGTAAAAGTACATCATTATAATAAAATTTTGATTTTAATCAATTAATATTTCTCACTAAAAAATATGTACATAGAACCTTTCTGTTGAAAATTGTTGTGAAACATTCTTTCGCGTTATTAGTGATTTTAACTAGCATTTTTTGTATTTTCAGTTTGCACGACTTATTACTTTAGCCGTGAAGTTAAAAATTGACGCATATTATTAAAAGTCAGATATTATTCTGGGATAAGTTAAATTAAAATATGTATGATTGCAACAATGTCGGACGCAAAACCCTACCAAAAACGTCACTGGTCTAATGTTGGTGACCAGTTTGTGGTTTTTGCATTTGTGTGGTTTCTTAAAACAAACTAAATAAAAAATTTAGGGAGCATGAAAACATAAACAAGAAGTGTTATTATATAAAATTTATTGAATGAAATTTTAGTAAATGTATATTTGCTTATTTTATTTTTAGATCTTCAGATCCTGATAAAATAATAATAAGAAATAATCACATCAACGGAAATTTTACTCACATTTTAATTTTGAAAGAAAGTAGAAAAAGATTGTTACTTAAAATATATTAACAAATGCATTTAATTTTTAATTCAACATTTAAATTTAATGTACTCACTTTTCTTAATTAATTAATTAAATTTGTTGACACAGCTCAAGTAGATACAATTCTGCACTAATTAATTTTGCTAATTTATGCTATTATGTTCGTTATTTTAGAACAGTGAGGCGATGTGTATTTTGTATTTGCAAATAAAAATAAATTGTGGAAAAAAATTATAATTTTTCAAACCATAACAAGATTTAGAACTCTTAAATTTTGTGTAAAATATCCTTGGAGTTCAACAAGTACGTAGAATTCAATTTGCCGTTGTGCAATTACACATAAATGGTTCAATTACAATACGAAAAAGGTCCTAAAAGGAAAACAAAAAATAATGCCTTCAATGTTTATTTGTTACTAAATTATTAAATAATTTCTCAATTAATTTAATTACAACATTATCTCATTAACATATAAGCAGTTTATGTTTTAACACATTTTAGCACAAATAAAACAGAATAAAAACTGTTTTTGTGTGTTGCAATTTTCGGTATTTTTGTTTTTCTCTTTTGCTTTTGTGGACAAGCTTACAATGTTTGTAGATGCACCGCCAGTGTTGAGTATAAATAAAAATAGTTCAATTACTCAAGTGAATATAATTGACAAAAAGAATGCGTTAAAATTAAATCTCCCGTCGCACCATTGCTAAGAAAGCGCGTTAACGAATTACCGATGGGCTTGGTAGAATATTTGCACTTCACACAGTTAATGCTTTTAATGTTAGTCACCTTATACCTTATTTTTATAAATATTTCACGCAGACACGCAACGGAACGATCGCACTTCCCACCTCTAAGACATTCTTTTTCGAATTGATGTATGGCTCATTCTTTGTCGGGTTAGTGTTGCCATATGTTGTTCAAAAACTGTAATGTCAAATATTAAAAGTATGCAAAGCATTACAATAAACAAAATGAGCAGCCGCTGTTTTGGTGTAACATTGAGCAAATATTAGTTTGTTAATAGAGATACATTTTCGAATAGATTACACAAAAAAAAAAAATTGTAGAATTAGTTTGCTGCTATACAATAATTTTTTTTATTTTTTTTTAATTTATTTTATTTGATTCAATAATGTATATTTTTGATTTATATATATATGTATAATAGCCGTAATTTTTTCTTTCAGAGTTGTAAAAAAACAGCATTAATTCCAGTTGAAACAAATTGGCACCATTTTTAAAATATTTTAAATGTTTTCAATAACATATGTTTTTAACTGTGTAATGTACAAATGATATATAAAAATAATAAACAGTTAATATTAATTAATTTAAATAAAAGGAAATAAAATGAATAAGAGAAGAGAAATGATAAGCATTTTTTATCTTATTGTTTTGATATATTGCAATTTGTTATTATTTCTGTGTATATGATTTTAAAGGATGACTGGAATTGTACAGTATATTTCCAGTAAACATTCACAATTGACTGATTGTGAATGGTGTGCTGCACTAACATTTAAGACGAAAGATTTTTTGCAAGTAAAACCTAACTCTATAGATTTTAAGAGCATTGTTATTGCTTTACATGTTTTCTTTCATAAGCTGCGAGTATTTATTTGGTACTCTAAAAGAACAGATTACGGCTAATATTCATTTGCATAATACGTTATAATTTATAATAAAAAACTTTAAAATACTATTTTAAATATGCCAATAATTTATTATACAATAATGTGTTATATGTATTTTACGACCTGACATTAGCCTTATGTTGATGCTATGCAATAATTTAAATGCAATTTATTTGAAATTATTTACAATTTTGCTTCTATATTTCAGCGCTCCCATAATATACCCAGCCAAAACATATCATTTTTTCTATTTGAAGCATCATCATAAACGTTTGTATAATAAATGACTATTTCCCAAAAACGTTTATTTCGCTCCTCCAAAATAAAGCAGACAACCATAAAGTTTGAAATATCCTTACACTCTTTGCGGCTGCGAAGTGTGCAAACATCAACTTCATAGTGTAAGGAAAAAAAGTTATGTGGCAGGACTTCTAGTCTCGTTTCGAATGTGGGTGCTGTTCATGGAAGTAATTGTTTTCATCCATATTGTAACTGAGTACCTATATGTAAACCGATAACTATTCTGTCGGGAACGATTTATGTCAAGCAATATAAATACCTACAAAAACTCAAACACGTTTAGATTTATTTATTTAGTATAATATATTAAAATTGTTTTAAGTTTAACACTGATGCCATTCTAAATCCACAACTCTTAATCATCTTAAATAATTTTGCGAACATTAACACAATTTGAAAAAGAAAACAATTTTCAATTATCGTATAATCTACTATTTACGCCGTACAAATAATTGTAATATTCCTTGTTCGTCTTGTACTGCTAAAAACTTGTTCACACAGCAAATCATAATATTATTTCTTACATTTGTTTTTGTTTTTCCGCGTTATTTTGTTAAATGCGATTTTCTCGTTTTCTTGTTCAAGCCCTAAAACCAATTTTATGTAATCTTAAATCTTATTTAAATCTTATTTAAATTATTTAAATTTAAATCTTATTTATGTAATCTTAAAGAAGGTGTTTTGTTTTAGTAAATATTTGTAACTAATTTTTAATTATGATGAGTGATATGTACTTTAATAATTACTAAGAATTTATTTTTATCCGAAGGAATCACTTCGAAGTAGAAAATTATTTTTAAAATTCATTTGCGATATGTGTTTAAAACGGTTTAATACATATTTGCATTTTGTGAGTTACTTGAAACAACATACACATTTATTTTTAATTATACTTTTAGAATATACAACGCATACATGTAGGAAATTAAATATCGTAAATATTCATTTTTACGATATTTTTTATATATTAAAAATTTATTTTTTGGTTTTAGATTAGGGTAATTAAATAGTTAAGAAAATTGGATTTAGCTATCGTAATGTTCTTATTTATTATATGGTCATCACTACACATTTTATTTTAATTAAATTTTAATTTAAGAATAAATATTTTAGTTGTACTTGTATATTCTTGAATTTGTATTTAATTGCTGATGATAATCTTTTTCTATTTAAGTTCTTAAATAAATTTAAAAGTAAAACTGATTATATATGATAATATTATATTCCTAATTAGAATAAAACTGAACACATCCGTCTTTCATTCCTATTGGCTGGTTCTAGAATATGACTTATTAACAAGACAATTTGTTAAAAAAAAAATCAATTAATAAGTCTTATCATTAACCTCTTAAAATAAAAATCAAAAAATAATAATTCAATTTGAATTGTATTAAATTTTTCAAAAATTATTATTTGCATTTTACTTTTGTACGCATAAATAATTATTACATTCAGTTATTTATTTTCAAACGCAAAAATAATTATTATTCTTGTCTTAACAACGACAAACTCAAAAATCATTATTATTATTACAAAAAATCATTATTACAAACCTAATTTCATATTTTTATAAATTTTAAGTATATATATTTATATAAATAAAATCTGTATATGTTATGTGTATATAGACCGTGTGCGAGTTCGAGTGAATTGATCGTAAATTGAGGAAAATAGTGAATTATGTCGGCATGGCAGTGAATGTTGGTATTTCGAGAATTTCCAGTATTTCGAGAAGGGTAAATTAGATAAAAATTAGGTGTCACCATTATGAAAATTTTATAAGATGTTTGAAAAATAAACGAACACATTTAAAAACTTTTAACCAAAAATAATAAATAAGTACAATAAATAAATGAATAAATATTTGCATACGTGCATTGCAAAAAATCCCTAGCAAATTTCAATTTAGGTCGTGTGCGAGTTAGGCTAAGTTGATGCTAAACCAAATGGGAGATTTTTTGCACTGCACATATTTAGCCATTTATCAACACGTATCGACACATCACTACATTACCGGCACAACTTAGAATTTCCCTCATTTAGAACGCAACTTAGCCTAACTCGCACACGACCTTACTTTACCTCAATTTACTCAAACTCGCACACGGTCAAAAATGTTATATTTTATATTTGTAAAGTTAAAGTTAAATAGGAATTAAGGACGTGTGCAAATTAGGTTGATGCTAAACCAAATGGGAGATCTTTTGGGATTTTTTGCACAGCACACATTTAGCTATTTATCAGGACGTATCGACACATCACTACATTATCGGTACAACTTAGAATTTCCCTCATTTAGAACGCAACTTAGCCTAACTCGCACACTTCCTTAAACACTATTTAACATAATTCAAAGTAATTTTGTATTATTAAACATAATTTTTATCTCTAAACTTTTCATGTTATTTGTTGTTCTTTAATTGAATAAGTTATGCGTACAGTAAAACTTTTTTTAATATTTCAATTATTGCTAATTGAGGTACGCTAAGTGTAAAGTATAAACATAGAATGGCAATAAATTTCTTAACTGTCTTTAGTTCTCAAGTACGGGCCGCTTTTTGTAGAAAGTTCGACATTTCTATCAGTTCTCTATTTTGTTAAGTCATTTTCTGCTGTTGAATATAATATATAAGGTGTCAGGCAATCAGCAATCAGCAATCATACAATTCGCGAACGCTCAAGAACGTTGTGGAAGTTTATGTGATAAAGAGTTTGTTGACAATTTTTTATTGTTTAAAAGGAATTAGGAATTAAAATGGAATTTCCACATCTTGGTGAACATTGTAGTGAGAAAACTTGCAACAGACTTGGTACGTAAAATGGAAAACTAATTTCACCAGGAAAAGCAAAATTGCATACTTATTGTGTTTATTTTAGATTTTCTGCCCCTAAAGTGTGAAGCATGTGAAAAAGTGTTTTGCTCTACGCATTTTACTAATCACGGTGACTGCCCTGGTGCTTTAAAAAACGTTCAAGTTCCAGTGTGTCCTTTATGTGGAATGCCAGTACCAACAGCACCAGGCGTGCTCCCGGATATAACAGTTGGCAGACACATTGATAAACAATGCAAATCGGACTCAAAGAAAATATTCACAAATCGATGTAGTCACACTGGATGTAAACGCAAGGAACTGATACCTGTTACGTGTTCAATATGTAAACAAAACTTCTGCTTGCGCCATCGCCACACAGCAGATCATGACTGCAAATCTACTAATAGCTCAGTCAATTCAACAAATAATAAAGTACAAACTGAAGTTAACCAAAGAACACTTGCTGCGTATGTATTATAAATTCGTCTTATTCATTTCATAATCGTGATGATGATTTGTATTTATTTCAGCAATGCGGCCGAATATCGTCGTTTGAATAAACCAACCTCGTTGTTTAGTACAAATGCAAAAACCAATGTCCCAGCAGCTAAAATGCCACCAATTGCGCAACGTACACATATGCAGAACCTTCAAGGAAATATGGTGAGTCACTATATTAGATCTTTAAATGTTTGTTATATATATATGTATATATGTATTGTCATTTTGTTTTATGTGCAGACGGACGATGAAGCTTTACAACGTGCTATTGCTCTTTCAATTTTGGAGCTTGACGAATCCGCTGACCGCAATCGCCTTAATAATTCAACTGCTCAACACAATGCTACAGTACCTATCGTCAGGCAAAACGCCCAACAGACAAACGATAAAGACAAATGCTCGTTATCGTAGTCAACGCAAAGTGAAAATGACCAAAACGACTATTAAGAATCTTAAATTATTATAAGTTATACACTTTTAAGACTTACTTAACTACAAACTAATTAATTAAAATCATTCCTTGTAATTGAAATGAGAACACAATTAAATGATGTTCAAAGCAAGCATTGCATGTCGGCTTGGCCATGTTATAGCTAACTACTAGAAAATGGAGGCAAAATGTTGACTATTGTCCATACAATTTTATTAATTTTAATTAAACTCTAGAGAAATTTTTAATTATTGTAATGTACAAAATACAAAAAACAAAAAAAAAAACTGTCGCAAACAAGGTTTCACCTGGTCCAGGAGATGGAAACTATTTTTAATATTGGTTATTTCGTTACTTGTTATTGCCTTAATCGCCATAAAAACAATTGTTTCTTGTCATATCTTGACAATATCATTTCTATTGATATCAGTAAATAAATAAAATTTATTTAATAAGCAGCAAAGTGTTTTGTATTTTAAAAAGCATTTCTGAGAAATCTACTGAACATTCAAACGTTAAAAATATCATTTAATGCTGAAGAGATTCCATAAGGGTGTAAGATAATCGCTGCAGCCTATAATATTTATGTTTATTAAGTTTGTAGTAGACTCCTGAGGACTTGTAACTTATATATAGTTATAACCTAATCTAATGATGACTAGATGACTTCTGTGACTCAACACACAAAATCCATTTGGTCTTACAACGATGATAGGAAACTTTTTTGGATTTGTCTGTAATGAAGATTCAATTGTGTTTCTTCCTTCTTATTATGCATTTGGTGACTTGGTTATTGTGTCGTTATATATAAATGATCTAATCGCTTTTACTTTATAATTGAAATCGAAAATTAAATTTTTGTTACTTTTGGCGATTCAAATATGACTCGAAAAACAGCTTTCTAATCAAATTAACCATACGGTAAATACTAATTATTTTGTTAACAATTTTCTATTAGCGATAAATTTGTTAAAAAGTACATACATATGTACGTATCTATGTATGTAGGTATATGCCAAGCACATTCATGTTAAGATAAGTGTTTAATGCAAAAACTGTTTAGTTCTAGAATTTTCTTTACCCAAATGGAATTCCGTTTCGATAGAAAATTTTAAGTCGATATTCTTGATAAGACGAATAAAAAACAAAACCAGCAATCAGTTTTGATTCCAACACTGGTGTAGGAGTCATTGGTTTCGACAGTGTAAAAAGATATCACTTTTACTGGATGCGTGCTTCACTGTGTTTCAAACAGACTCATGACATTGGATACATGAAATAACCAAGCAGCATGAAGAATTTGTCCTCGTGAAGTGTTCACAACACTCTTGATGGGTTGTTACAATAAGCTGCAGCTATTGGTAAGCCAAAATCGGATAGTACTTTGCTGAATTCCGACGTCATGTCATACTAAAAACCAATGGCAATGGATGGGATCACATCAGTCTTATAATTTCGTAGCCCTCTTGTGATATTAGTTGACCCAAAATTAAGTCTATGAGCAATAAAATTGAAGGGTTACAGGTAAACATCGGTTAAACACATTTTAAAGTCTTTTGACCACAAACAGTCGTCCTAACGTTACCTGTTAGGACATTTTTAACTCAAGTTATCAACTGCAGCTATAGCTATATAAAGGTTTAAACTATCTCAACAATATGGAAGTGTTTGCAGTGACAGAAAGTCGTGTCTGCCTGGGAATTGTGATGATACTTCTAGTCATATTGTTGGAAATTGTTGGACTTTGCATTGGGTTAGGAGAAACAGACTGCTGCGGAAGCTGCTTATCCCGTTGTGTACTTGGAACTCAACAAGAAAAAAAGATGAGTGCTTTTGATAAATTGTAGTACAAAAGGGCTGCTATGGTTAAAGTGTCTCTGTTCCATTGGTGGACGTATTTTTGTTAATTATCCATTTATTCTCAATACACCACTAAGATTTCCATGCCTATTCATACCATATTTGAGCATAGTAAGCAGTTAACTACGTATGATACCGTCGCTAGAAGTAATGCCAAAAATATTGTGTAATGCTCATTTGAACCGAAAAAGTAGATTTGCTTCATAGAATCTTACTTGACTATATCAAAAAATTGCTTTTAGAGCTTTCTCTAAGTTTCAGTCCTTAAAATAGTCAAGCTCCAAATCCTTAGAACAATCACCATGTTCTTGTTAACTGTGATATCGCACAATGGGTTTGCCTGGGGGATCTAAATTAGGTAGTGTCTTTTGAAGACGGACCGCCACTTGCATCTTCATCTTAGAATGTTTGACACGCAGCGTCAGCAGTTTTATCAAATCAAGAGCAACCAGACTTCTAAATCGGAAGCTTTACCTCTGATAGGAATCAATAAAATTGAAAAACTATATTTACTAAAAAAGAATTGGAATATTTTATTCAAAAACAGCAGGAATATTTCCCAAATAAAATAGAAGCATAATTTGGTTAAAAAAATAATTAAATATTTTTATATTGATTATATAAATAATAACAATAACGATATTATATAAGTGAATACAGAAATATATATTGATAGGTAATTATGACACCTGTTTTGTCTGGAATATTATACTTTTTCAATTTCAGAAGTTCGGTCAGGCGAAGCGGGCATAGTCGTTGAGCTTGCGTCAGACTCTGAAATTTCTGGTACATTCTCTATTGTTGCAGCAGAACTCTCAGAATTATTTTTTTTCTCTAAAATTGATTTGCGAGTCATAGACGATGTCGCATGGCTTGGGTTGTTGCTCTCATTCGAAGATGTGCTTATTTTGCGCGGCACATGCGAGAAGTTAGCAAGGCCTTCAGCTGCTAAAATGCTGGCACTTGACAATAGAATAGAGACTTGTTCAGGTGACGGACAACTAGTGATAATCAGGTCATCAGATGAGTAACCATTTGTGGTCAGCAATTGTTCCAATTTCACAAAAGCTTGCATGACGTTATTCTATAAAGCAAGTAAAGTAAATTAGCAAAGCTGTGTTCGTAGCTGTCAAGTTGTACTTACGCGTATTGGGCGAAATATGATAAACTCCGTATCACGATTGCTCAGGTACAACTGCATCGATCTCTGTAGCCCGGCTAATTTGCTTTTAATCAAACGTTGACTCTCCTGCACTGTAACGCTGATATGCTGTGGACTGGCCCAGCTAGTTTGACGCAAAATGTATTTAGATTTGTCGTTATCAGTTTTTGTGTCAGCAGTGAGTTCTAGTGCTTTATCCAGAAATGCCAGAACTGGACCAACTAACAATTTAACGGCATTTCTAATGAACTCTTCGCAAATGCTCTTGAGCTGTCGATCAACTTCTTTGCGAGAGTCTAGCAAATGTTCTTTTATTTGAGGTGTACCTTCCAATAGAAACTCAAGTAAGGCGTTATTGCTGCCCATGGAAAACAATTGCTTGCGTTTCTGTAATAAGCCAAAGGCAGCAGTTTTGACTTTACTAAAATCTAATGAGGTCTCCTTTACGGTGAAGTCAACACGGAACGGTGCTATTTGTTCACGAAGTATTAGTAAATGTTTGATTTCGAAGAGCTCACCGTCGATGACTGTCTGTGGGCAGAAATCAAAATCGACTATCAGACCAGTTTACTATGAATTTGCTAGAAAAAGCTTACCTTGTTCGCCGATATTTTATTTCTAGCAGAAGCTATGCTTTCTATACATAGCTTTATTGCCTCTTGTGAAAGACCTTGAAATATAGGACGGTCAATGCATCTATACAAGCGTGAGAGGCAAACTAAGGTGCGACGTACTGTCGGATACCACATGCCGTGCAAGTCGGCTGGCGAATCTAAATAAATTCTCTTTAATCTATATGCTTATACCAGTTTATTAGGTTTTTAATTTACTAGTGCTCCTTTGGCGATAAGCAGTGTCCACACTTTCAGTGTCGAAGGCGCTTGAGGCTGTAGAAATCAGAGATGATCTTGAGTCAGACCTACGTAAGTGTTGAGCTTCTTGAAGTGATAATGCTATGCTCTATAAGAAAAGGGATTGTATGCAATCCTTGTATGTATGAAGATTATGCTTACCTCCATCATTTCTAGCTTCTCTGGATATGCTAAGTCACCAGCTGAGGGACTGTAATTTAATATATCAGACTGTAAATATAGATGTGCACGAAATACCAGGCGTTCCTGTACATCTTGCAAAAGTTGATGTACAGTATTAGCAAAAGCTTCCAAAGGTTCAGCTACAAATATATGCGTAAGCGAAAAGTTTAAACGAAAACAAGAGAAGTCAAGAAATCAGAAAAGATAGAAACTTACGATTTTGTTGTACATGTTCCTCTAGCATTTCAATCCTCAGAATTGAACACACTTCTGCCAAAGTTTCTAAATGATTTATATGTATTACATAAGGACGCAACGTATCATATAAAATGGTGCAAAGACCCTCCAAATAAGTCCTTACGAATCAAAAGCAAATAATAAGGTAATCTATCCAATGTACAATTGTTTAATCACTCACCTAAACTGTTCATTGCCTTTGGAGAAAAACTGGTAATACAAACGATGTTCGTCTTGACAGACATAGACTAGGAACCCACACGCGCTGCGCATCATAGAGCAATGATCTCCTTTATGTGTGGTTTTTAAATCTTTAATAGCGCTGCTTACAGCAGGTGACATAATGCTGGCTCGTTCATTAAAGTACGCTTGCTGCAGTTCATTCAGTAGTTGCTCATATTCCACACTTTGCTCAACACGTCCTTCAATCAACAGAGTAACACGCTTAATTTTCGCAGCTGAAGTTTGGTACTTGCCATAGTAGAGTGCAAAAGCAGTATCAGGTGTTGTTATTGCCGCTACTTCATTTACGGGCAACTGCGACTGCTTTGGATGTAAGGTAGCATCAGTCGCTTGTGTCAAAACTGCTATGACATAGCTCTTTATTAAAGTTATGGCTTTTGATAAGCAATGCTTATACTTTATTACAAACATTGCAGAATCTTTAAATTTCGGCTGCAAAGAAAATTTATATTAAATCAATCAAAATTCAATGTGAAAGCAAGGATAATTACATTCTGTTGCAAGTATTCTAAGCATTCGTCAATGCGATCAAGACAATCTCGAAAGACCTCACTCGCCACAGACAGTGTGGGACTAAGCAAGCGTTTTTGCAACAGTTCCACTTGTGTGAAATACCGCAATCTTCGTTGAATCTCATCGCTTAGGTCCTGACACTTTTTTTGCTCATCGATTAACTGCTCGCTTGTAGAGTTCAAATTGTTTGTCTTTTCAAACACAAATTCATATTCACCACTTAGTGTGTCCAATTGATGCGTTGCGTCATTTATTTGCTCTAACATATTGCAACATTCTGCGCTCAGTAGCTGCAACTGTTGCAAGTAGCGGTGAAAAGAAGTATCACGATAATCACAAATTTCTGCATACACACGATTGTACCACAACATGAAATCGTTAGAATTAGATATGCAATATGAGTTCTTTGTGGTCAACTCTTTGTAGGATGGACTTATGAAGGAGAATTTCACATCGCCATCTACTTCCGAGATGTCTTTCTCTGTAGCAGAGATTTCATCCAACGTTTTATTCTAGAATAGAACATTGTTGTTAAGTATATTAATAGTTAGATTAAAAATGTTTTATTACATCATCTCGCCAAGCATTAAATAGTGTTTCGATTAATTCATCCTGCTGTGCATCCAACTCAACCAATGGGTTGTTTTTTGTGTCCCACTGCAAAAGCCGAATGTGAATTTTGCGCAGATTTTCATTTTCACTTTGTGCACTGGCGACGTCGTTCATTGTCTTCAAATTGACACATTAAGATTCAAACGTTTTTTTAACGAACTAAGCCTATCACAGTACGTGAATTTTGTAGTGGGATAAATACAATTGCCTACATCAAACAAACATAACAAATCTTTCCATGATATCATTGACGCGTAGCTCAATTTTGACAAAACAAACACAACACCGTATGGCCACGCAATTAAGAACAATTGGAAATGAAACTGTCAACTTGAGTTCGCCGTGCTACAAATGACGTATAAACTTACCTGATATAGATTTAGCAAAAAAATGTTGATCTTTTTGCATTACATATAAGGTCTGCTCCACGAGCTGCTTGTAGTAAAGCTCAAGTAAAACGCAAGTAAAGTACAAACTGACATAAATAACACAAATAAAGTGCCAAATTACGCTCTTTACACAGATTTTAATGGAACAGTTTTGTGTAAAGTTTGGTGAGAATACCAGTGGCGCGCAAATAAACAATACAAAAATTTAAATTCAAATCAAAATAGCTGATTCACACATCAACACAAATTTTATTTAAAATAAACTGTACGAGTAAAGTCTATAAACCATTTTCAAATTTCGATAGGGATATTACACTCTCTCAGATGCTCTAATTTACTCGAAAATTTGCTGGTGGAATGCACTTGTGTATACACAGTGCTTTGCTAAAGTTAGTTCCCAAGCATCTAGCGTTTTATATCGTTGCGGGTTTTAATTTTAACTGTGATTATTGTTGTTGGAGTTGGTGGATTTCTTTTTATTTATTTTATTGCATTTTGATTCTGTTTTTATATATTTTATTTAAATTTTTGACATATTTGCTTACTTTGTAAACAAATGTCGTGACGAAATTGACAACGATATGTCATTTCGATATGTAAGTACCAAAAACTTATTGACAATGTATTTTTTTAGTACTGTATTCAAGAAAAGGTATTAAATAAAGCTTACTTTCAATTAAAATTGGACCTTAGTCGTGCCTACATGAGAGAGTAAGCTTTGGTAATTGGTTTTAAGCTCAAAGTGGACTTCAACCACAATTTGACAACAAATTAGAAATGGAAGCTTGCTTTTTAAGTAGCAATAAACTTATGATGATTACATAATCACTACTGGTGTAATAGAAAATTAATAAAAAAATCATTAATTTATTTTTGTTCTTCAGTGTAATTTCAAATTAAAGTTATACTAATTATTGTAACTTAAAACATTTAACATCATATTTACATTGACGCAATTAACACAATAAATGTGTGTGTAACACAATAAATTGTGTGACAATAAATGTAATTTTATATACAAATTTCATATAAATTTGATATAAAGTGATGTTAGTTTAATAGCATATAATAAATACATTAATTGTAGATTATATAACTTTCGTGAAAATATTTGATCTTTAAACAAAGTCACGTTTTGTTGTTTAAATAAACAGAATTTTTTATTTTAATACATTTAAAATATTTAAAAAAAAAATGTTAATGTTAATTAAAAGTTATTGCTACAGATATAATTAAAATACATATTAATATAATTTGAAATTTCCTGCGCATTAAAAAGGATACATTTTTAGAAAAAGTTTTTATTCCGTACCACACGCCGAAAAGAAGTAGTTATTGAACATAGGCAAAACAATTTATTAATCGGGTTTACTCGGAAATATCAAGTTGTACGAATCGAAATCGTGCAGAAGCGTTCGCAGATTCCTACAGACTGGGCGTAATTTTTTAAATTCCTCGTGTAATTTATCACCAATCAAGTTTTGTTAACTATCAGTCATGGTAATATATTTATATATGTTAATCATTATAAGAATATAATATAATTTTATATTTTGAATATTTTAGGATCCGGAAACTGGTGACAAGTCCATAGACCTAACCAATACTATGCCATCGCCTAATTTTCTTGATTCAATGGATTTTGGCGCTGATATCATGGATTTTGGTTCTGATGATAATGATGGGTCTAATGAAGAAGATTTAGGCAGGTCATCGTCTTGCGGCTTTTACGCTGATCTCATACGTTACATGGCAGTACGCCGCCATACTGATAAGAACAAAAAGTTTTTTTCAATCTCCAGTTGGATGCAGTCTGCATTTCGCATTGGATTGGTATCGCTTGCATTGTATTGGGGTTACAAAAAGGTTAAAGGAGGACTGTTGTCTATTAAGTGGACTAAACCCTAATTCTTTTTAAAAATACTATTCAACAAAAAGAATAAATGAGCTAAAAATGAAAATTTTTTTAGTTTAATAATAAAGCAGATAAAATAAAATAATGTTTCTTTTATTTATACATTTCTTATACATATTTTTATGCTTTAAAATATGATTAAAGAAATTATTATGAAACTTTTGCGAAAATGAATTGAAAATCTTAGTAAAAAAACATGGCTGCTCTGGAAAAGTAAATATTCATTTTGCAAGATATATTCCTTCACAAATGAAATAATTTTTACTTCAATAAATAATAATGTCAAAAAAATTAAAATAATATTTCTTTTATTTATACAATTTTATATTTTTTATATATTTTAATAATACATAGAATAATAATTATTTAAACTTATCAATGATTATAATATGTTTTTATTAAATTACAAGCTTAATTTGCTTTCTTGATTTTGTTATAAAAAATGATGTTACTTATGAAAACATTAGCTTTTTGCAAGCACTGGGAATCCCAAATATATTGATCCACTTAGAAGTTAAAGTTCTTTGTTTAATTTTGTTATATCCCCAAAACAATGCCAGTGACAAAAATCCAATGCGTACAAATAAACTTGTCCAGTTGAATATTGATAAAAAAATATTATTTTTATCACCAGGGCGACGATAAGGCAAGTTTTCCGACATTTCTGAATATAAATCAAATAAAGATGACATGGACAAGTTACTGCCATAAGAACTCTGAAGACTAGTAGAACTCTCGGCAACATTGTAAACGCCCTGAAAATTATTGGCACCTCTGATGAGGTCATACCCACCAACAGCATCAGAATCATTCGTATTAGTAGATGTGTCAACATCAGCAAAACCATTCATGTCATCTGAATTGTTATCTTCCGGATCAATTAATCCAATAAAGTTATTAAAAGCTTGAAAATCTTCTCCCATCATCAATGTGTCAAGATTCATTGAATCATAGATATACACATTACGGGCTGATGGTAAAGACTCATCATCTGTTTGTAAATCCTAAAAAATCAAAAATAAAAATTTTATATCATTTTTATAATAATAAATAAAAGACAGTTTACCATAATTCCACACGTAAAAGTTATTGCTGTAGATAATTCAAGCAATTTTTGAATATATTCCTATTTTGCACTAAACGAAAACTTCAAAAGTGTTAAAGTCCGCAACGCGTCCGATTCGAATGAGCACAGATTGGAATTTGATTACTCGAATCTGAAGTTTCCCAGTGAACCCAATTAATAAATTTTTACGTCTATGTTCAATAGCTATATCTTTTCAAAGAATGGTACGCAATAAAATCTTTTTACTGAAGATACATCTTTTGAATGTGCGGGAAAATTCAAATGATATGACAAAGTGTAGTAATGACGTATAGACAGCCTTACTATGTTTAAAAATATTTTAATATTTTTGATTATGAAAATTTAAATACAATGTGAGAAAATATTCATGATTTGTATAAGTATTTTTGTTTTTTTATTATTATTTATTTTGTTGCTTTTTCTATCAGACATGCCGATTATTTTATATTTTCACTGCGATGTCTTATCTGCTTCAAACTTGTCTATTGTGAATGAGTTTTGGATATTCATGAAAACTTAGAATCAGTTATCAAATATATTTATATATATTATTTATTTTTGGTTTTAAGTTTATATTTTTGGTTCATAAATTCTTAATATTTATATATTAAATCTGGGTTTAGTTTTTGAGTTTTAATTAAAGTTAGCTTTGCTTCGCAGAAACCGCCTTCACGGTAATCCCTACGTCAGGTAATTACTGTATAGCAATAACATCCTTTCCTTCCCTCATTTGTCTCCAGTTTTGGCTAAGATATATTATTTGTCTAAACACAAAGCCTTCTGTATTGTAATGGTTAATGTATAACCACAAATGGTCTAGTGATTTTAGTGGGTTTAAATCTCACGCTGTGGCTTTCGATGCTTTCTACATACCGAAAAAAAAAATTGTTGGTTATTGATTTTGCTGTACACAAAAGCAAAAAATATCAAAAAAGTGCAACGAACAAAATTTAAAAATACAGTGAACCAGGTTCTTGAATTCAATTTTATATTTCTATTAATAGTTTTTTATTTATTTCAAATTAAATCAAGTTACACGCTTCACTTTACATACTAATAATCAGCTGATATTTTATCGTATATCGTAAAAATTATTAAACCTGTTGCCTCGTTGTAAATTAATTCAAAACAAATGCACATAAATTTGTATAATTTTACTAAATTACCTAGCACTGAAAAACCCTATAGAATTTAGAAAAAATAATTAATAAGTTTTATTTTTTTATACATAAAAATGGTTACAATTGTTCAAATCTACGGACGGACAGACAATAAATGGGATGCGCCTAGAAGTAGTAATAAACCTTTTGGAAAATAATATTCATAAATTTTAACAATGAACATATTTTGTTTATGTAGAACTGCTAAGGTATATTAAGAACAATTATTTACTTATATACTTGAATTTATCGATTTAAAGTATCATCATAATGATGTCATAAAAATTGACTGTTAGAATTATCGTGATTATTTTAACACAAACTGCTGTCAATACCAAACATTTTGTTTGTAAAAACACATCAAATGTTTTTAAAAATTAGCTGTTCAATAAAGGTGAGAAAGTCAATGATAATAAGTTATTCAAATAATACAAATCGTGGTCAAGAAGTTTTAAAAGAAGAAATCAGTTTTTTGTGAATATTCATTGAAAATATATTACAAAATTCTAGTCGTCCGCTAAAATCATATTCAAAATCAGCATTCCATTTATTAGTAAATTTAAATACTTGAATAAATAAATTAATTTAAATGTATTATATGAATATGCTTACCACTGTACTTATTTTGTTTTCTTTTATTTAAATCAATTAGTTTTTACTATTTACAATGTCCAAAAATGTATTTAACATATTCCAAAAGTGATGCCAATTTGTTTTAACCAGACTTAAAGCTGTTTTTTTACAACTTTGAAAGAAAAAATTGCGGCTAATATTACGTACTTATACGACTCTACTTACAAAAAGCGCTATTAGTTTGAAAGTGTAACATCTAGTAATTGTTGTTAATGGCTGTGGAATTTATTGTGAATGAATGACGAATAAAAATTTGAAGTCTCTGAAAAAGAAGATTAATAACTCAATGTCTTAAATAAATTATTATATTTGTTTAAAGAAAATCTTTCAAAAATGGCACCACAACCTGTGGTTACAGGTTTATCACCCAAGGAGGGTCCACCTGGAACGCGAGTTATTATACGAGGGGAGTTTCTGGGCACAAAAGCATCAGATCTAATCGGTGGGTGGTGTTATTAAAAATAATATAAATACAAATGTAAATTTTGTTCGTGTGCATAGGTTTAAAAATTTGTGGCTGCGATTGTTTATTATCAGCGGAATGGAAATCTACTAATAAGATAATAGGGCGAACAGGGCCAGGTAAAGGGAAAGGCGATATTATAGTAACAACGATAAGTGGAGGACAGGGCACGTCTACTGTGCAATTTCGTGCCTATCACGAAACTATCGGTGGACCGTTAAAAGAATCAGCGGTTTGGATAGAGGAGTCGCCTGCACAGAATTTCGCTTGGGGTCGACGATCCTTGGCGCCGTCTGCTTTAACACAAGAAGATCCTTTGGGACTGTCAATCGAAGGAAACGAGCAAAAAATACCAGAAGACCTGCGCGATTTATTACCTGAGGCGAGTGGTGATTTATCACAGGAGAGCTTTTCACCTGCGTGGTTCTTACTTGAAAATCACTTAGCAACGTCTTTTGGTGACTTGAAACTTGGTTTGTCCTACTTAAAACGTAAAGTCGAAAGTCAAAAGGAAGGACAGTTGTCGTTTTTAAAATCCAATGCTGGATCTGTTATTGATCAACTTGACACTCTGATGAATATACGTGATAAATTGCAGGAAGACGGTCGTTTGTATGGAAACGAAATGCTAAACGTCTTGGAGGATTCGATACAAAGTTTGTAAATTCCGAATTTGTTATATTTTTTAACGAAATCTAAAATTTTCATTTGTCATAATAGATTCGATAGCGGAGTCGCAGAAAATATTCACAGATGTCCTAATACGTAAAGAGAAGGCGGACTCGACAAGAGCGGTTCTATTTGCTTTGTCGAGACATAAATTCCTATTTTGCTTACCAAACTCGGTGGATAAACGAGCTCAAGCTGGTGAATATGACATTGTAGTGAACGATTATTCACGAGCCAAAAATCTGTTTGGAAAGACGGAAATACCTGTAAGTTTGTAAAAAGCCCAATAAAAAAAGCAAAAGTAAAGGCTTAAATGAAAATAAAATTAATTTTTTTGAAAAGTATATTTAAGTATTTTTTTATAATTTTGTTTATTTTTTATATTAAAGGTATTTCGAAATATATTGGAGGAAGTTGATCAGCGCGTGGTACAAATTCGAAAGCAACTACATGAAAAAGTTGTGCAAATGCCCCAAAGCATTGAGCAGCAGAAAAAACTTATAAAAGCTTTAATAAATTTAGAGGTATTATAAATAGGAAAAAAGGAAACCATTTCAATTTGAAAAATACTATTTCTTTCAATCTATTCGAAGGTTCAGCAATCCGGTACCAGCATAGGTGAAAAATGGCGCAATGTAGATCCTGCATGGGATGCTATTGATGCGCGAGCCAAATATTTGGAATATACATTTAAGCAAACATTTGAGCAATATAGCAACAAAGACAGTGCCGCCCAAGAAAGTATGATTTGTGGCTATAAATAAATGAACAAAAATTTATTTAAAATAATTTTTAAAATTCCATAGAAGGAAAAAATCGTGATCCAAATCTGCCGCCGGCGCGAGTATTGTTTTGTGAAGAAATATGTGACATTGCCGCGTCACAGTTGCCTGAAATGTGGCGTTTGGGGCAGTTGTACTTTACAGGCGAGCTGCGAGGGCCCAATGACCCTAAGCCAGGTGACTTTAAGGTAAGCTGTCTCATCAAGTATTCAGTTTATAAAGTGCATAATTATTAATGGAATGTTGTCTGCTTTTCGTACTATAGCGTATGATTTTGAATGCCATAGAAAAACTTTGTACATATCTACGAGTCGCTATACTAATCAACTCTGATTTGCGCACAATAAGGCAAACTACCGGTTTATCGTGGCCTATTGGTTCATCATCAGCAACACATCAGTTTTTGCCCTGGGTAACGCAGTGTTTGCGTTATACACGCATCACCTACGCCGCGCTTATACAGCTGGATTTACCGTCGGAAGCTTTAGATATCATACAAAAGTTCATTGATGAAATACGTCTATTTTGCTTAACGATTATATTTAAACGAGCTATAGAACGTTCTGCCAAGTTAGGTGAAAGAGAAACCTGGGAGATGGGTGTGGAAGACTTCCCTGGTGTGACCTTGCTACCGAGTTATTTGGAAGAGCTTATTATTGAAACTTTAGATGAAGTGCAAACATCTTGTATGAATCCTGAAATAAAGTCAGAAGTTTTATTTGAATCTCTACTTAATGTTACTTAAATTTATTTTATTTTATTTTATTTTTTAAAACAGAGAAGGCAATTTGTTGGAGCCTCGTTCTGATGGTCAACGCGAGATTTCTACACGTTTACAAGAGTTCCTCTTATCATTTTGTGCAGTTATCGAGGAATTAGCATATCAGTCGCACGATGAAGAAACTCCAACGCATAATATATCGCAGTTGCTCGGCTATCCGCACACTGCTCAAACTTCAGGACGATTTTGGTGTTCGACAGTTGTGACTTGGGAGCAGAGAATGCTTTGTTGTTTGGCCAATTGCTCATATTGCAACAAAAGTTTCTTTCCGCATGTCGGCGAAATATTTGTCAAGTAAGTTGACTGTAATTGCGTTCCATATACACTTAAGAACCTAAGTCCGTTTATTGTAGATATGGTTATCCACTACCTACTTTAGCGATTGAGGCTTCGCGCTATGCTGTAAATGAACTTTTTACCAATTTACTTGAAGCTTACGTTGAACATAAGGGAGATCCACTAGTGGGCACCATCGAGCCCTCTATGTATTTGGGACGCTTTCAGTGGGACAACGAAATGGAAATTGGCAAATTACGGCCCTATGCACATGAGTGCTGTGATAACTTAGTTGGCGTTTATTCGGAGATTTTCACGATTTCACCCGCGCTGCTTAGACCAATATTGGAGCCTATAGTGTTAACGGTTTCTGAAGAGTTGGCAAGGCTCATGAGTTGTGTACAAAAATTTAGTTACACAGGCGCAATACAAGCAAATGTGGATATACGTCTCATACACGACGTGTTAAATTATTACACAAACGAAACGGGAAAGTCAGTAGAGAATATCTAAACTTTTTAATATTATTTAACATTTTACATTGTTTCTTTTTTTTAAAGGAATTATTTCATGGAAGCTCTGGAAGCTATAAATCCTCCATTAGACTCAGCACAGCTTAAGAAGGCCGATGAGATTCTAGAGCATGCGAAGCAAAACATGAGACTGCAGTTGATGTGCTTTTCAGTGAAAGATCCATAAAAAATATTGGGTTCAAAAGTTGAATAACCCTAGGTGCGAAACAATTTTAATGTTATGTACCCATTATCTAACGAAACTCACTGCGTCCAACGCTTGAAACCACAAAAATTCCATTTCTATTACTTATCGAGTATGTAAAACTTTTATGAAGTACATATTTTATTATTTTATTTATTTATGTTAGGAAATCTAGTGTATATATCTATGTTTGCTTGTAACGCATGTTATTGTAAGTGTGCTTATCAAATAAAAAATTAGAATTTAAAATCAAAATTGAAGTCGTCTCCCATATTTTCAAACTTATGTAAATTATCCTTAATGGCCTGCTCTACGTCTATGGTGTTGAATTTCTCCTGTAGTCGCATTTTTATAGGATTCTCGAGCGCGTCCATTATCTGATATCTTAGTAAGTTAGGTAGTACATTTACTACGAATTCCATAAGATAATCCAAAGAGCCAGCGCCATCACAACGTACTTGTATGTTACCCAGCTCTATTTGCAGGTCGTTAATTTGCGGACGTTTTCTGGTATCGAGAGATTGACTCACATTTACAGTGACCCGCAAATGCTTCACCGAGAACTGGACATGCCCAACACGAGACACCAATCCACAACCTACCTGCCACTGTCCAGCACCGATCAGTTCCTGTGTACCTACACGTATGCTCAGTATTATCGTGTTATTCTTCATTGCAACGATGATATCTCCAACGCGATAAAAACTGGCTATTCCACTGATCCACGTATTTGACAGCTGCATGCTAAAGATACCTACAGTGCGATTATAGTCGGGCAAATGATATGGGTCGTAACCCATCATGCGGACTTTTTTACGTCCCTCCGCTATGGCCATGTCGAGGGGTGTAATTGAATTTGGTAATAGCCGATCTCCCATAAGCTTGCCAATATTCTTGTTGATCTCTTCACGTAATTGCTTATCTGCTTCTTGTAACATAAATGGCTTCATTGCGTCAAAGACTAGATTCGGTGCCGAATTCACAATACCCTGAAATACGGATCCAAGAAAACCAAGATTTTCAAAGTCCATGGACATATCGGAGAATGTTATATCCATTTTAATGCTTTCAGTTGTTAGGTGCCCGTCGCGCTGAACTGTTAGTGTTGCAGATCCCTTAACAACGACCTTCTTTAATATAACATTAAATGGCCCACTGGCTTTGGAGAAGAACGAACTTAGTGTGTAAGAGCCCTTAACAAGCATTTCGTCAAGTTGTATACCAGCGTCAACCTAAAACATATAAGTGCACAATTCATTAGGATGTGTAATTCTTTGAATACCAGAAATCAAAGAATTACATTATATTACTAACCCTCATTGCATTTAAATCGGCATTTATGTTCTGTATACGGAATTTTGAAAGTCCATGTGCCTTCACTTTGATCATATTCAAAGTGGCCATGCCTAGACTTTTCTTCATATCAGGCACGTCCATTGGATCGGGAATCGGCGCACCAGGAAAACCGACTGGATCTTCTTGCTTGTAGTGCTCAATCACTGCAAGCAGTTGAGCTGCTAAGCGATTCTCACTCACATCGATGTTATGTTCGTCTATGGAATTAGAGAAGTCCTCCTCGTGCTCGTCTACTCAATATAAATCTTTTTCAATAGAAAAAAAACTGATTATAATAAATAAAAAATATAAAATTACCAGTATCCTGTCCATAAACCGCTCCAACAATTAAAAATATTGATAAAATTAATAGAAATTTCTTCTTCGCAGTCATATTTCTGTTCATCTAATTCGTTTCCGTGCTGTGCCTATTTATCGTCTTTATTTAAGTAAGAAACTTTCTAAGCTAGTCCAATTTTCTAAGCTACAATCAGTGTTGCTTATCAGTAGCGATTGTAAGCAAGCGATGAACGCCGAGATGAAGATCTGTCAAAACAGTAAATCAGAATTGATTCTCTTGTGTGCCCCTGCCTTGCTGCACATCAAGCAGACAGACAAGTAGAAACTGTCTTCACTTATGTACTCAACAAGAACTGCACGACAGTCGCAAAAAAACACTGAAGATCGTTTTATGAGATAATTAATCGCTCATCTGCGGGTGAATCGCTTCTAATTCCGTGCGATAATAGAACGGAAAACAGAAAACAGAAAACACACAACAAACTTGTGGTGTGTGTTGTGATTAGCATTCGCGAAGGGTATCGTTTTCTTCGATTAACAGAGCAAAGAGAGCAGAAATTCGTTCGAATCGTTCACTTAATTTAAGTGAAGTGAAGCGAGCTATACGATCCTCTTGTTCCTCTTATTGGTGACAGTGATAGCGAGGCTTCGGCACATAAAACAACATTGTGACAATCCTCTGGTTGTGTTTTTATTGCAGAGCATAATGCTCTTCTTGTAATGCTTCTGTAAAGTGGATAGATCATTTTGGTGTTGGATTAACTTCATTCATAATTTTTTTGATTCATGAAAGATTCATTTTAGATATAATCTTCGCATTTGACTTACCTATTGTAATTGATTTTTTTGTGATCTTCAGATGACAGTTAGTGATTGATTAGATTGCACTAACTTGGATTAGAGTACGTTTTATAAATACAGGCATATGTATGTAATAAAAATTATTTATGTAGGGCTCGAATATGTAAATATTTATAAAGGTATTTCTTTCTTTCCTTATGTTAAAGCAAATTTTTTGGAACTTCAAGTTATTAGAAACAATTACTGTTATACATCTAAGATCTGAAGAACTTTGTCAGGTAGAACTGATTCTATACAATCTAATTCTACACCTTGAAACTAAAATATAGCAGTGAATGACTTAATGGCTTGTGCATAACTTGAACAAAGAACTCTTTTGAAATCTCTTGACAAAAACGCAAACATTTACGTTTGTAGACATACTGATCTCTCCTAAGGCAAAGCAGTCGCTCTTTGTCTCCAAATAAATTAGTGGAAGAGTCGATGTAAATTATAAGACGTGTATAAGTTTCGTAAAAGATTTGTAAGCTCAAATATTTATGAGATAACTAATCTACATTATTTCTTTTTTAAGATTAGGGATTAATATAAATGCCTAATATTAAATATCTATAATTAGCCTCTATACACTTGTATGAGTTATAAAGTGAATGTGATTTTGCTAAGTGTGGCAAAAAAAGAAGACGCTGAATAGGTACTGTGTGGTGGACATATGGAAATCTTCACATTTGTAAAAATATATTTTTTCCGTTATCACCGCTAGTGTCATCCATCTTTCAATAAATGCGTTAACTAATGGAAAGAATTTCAATAACAGACGTAGTGGTTCTTTTATTCATTGACCCTTGTCGTTCCGATGGACTTTTTTCCAGTTTTTACATTAGAAGGATTAAGATTAAGAAAAACATTTTTTTAAAACTCTGATTGTGTTTAAGTTTATATGCCAAAGCCGTTAAATGGAAAGCATTAGTGGTTCCGTTGATCGTGACTAAACTATAAGAAAATTGTTATTATTTAATTTATTATTTAATAACATTTAAATTATTAGTCATTAAATTATATACAAATACCCATGAGTGTAATTAAGATTATTGACACGATTTTGATTTCCTGGCCACGATACGAGTAATAATGGATAAAGATTTTAGTAAGAATGATATTTCGAATAATATAGCTCAGTTTTGAAGATATCGGGCTTTAAACTTTGAAATTCTAATAACGAAAATCACCTGTTACACGTTGTTTTTCAGAAGCGATATATGTTAGATATATTGCGCAAGAAAAAATTTGTCCAAAATAGCGGACTCTACTAAATCCGGGCACGGAAATCGAATTCACATTAGGTTATAAACTAGAGTTGCGAGTACAGTTGCCTTCACTTAATCGATGATTTTGGCGGTTTTAAAATCGATAAAAAATTTAGTTGTTGTTTAGTTGTTATTTTAGTCCGGGTGTGACGAACGGCACTTAGTCATTGAAATTGTTGAGTGGTTCCGTACATAGATCCGGCCGTCTAGAACTCCTTATGATGTGCTTATTCTAATTAGTTCACACCTAAAGCGAGGCGAATTAAAATAACTTCTCTTTCACGCCACAACCAAAAAGAAATACACAGGTAAATCCCTAGGTAAACAGGTAAAACAACAAATAGACTTCTCAACAATTGGTGTAATCACGTGCTACATAGATAGACATCCCAATAGTGCCATGGCTAGTAGTGTTTTCCCTGGATGCATTCGCCCTCCTTTCCTTTCATAGATATATCGACACCTTTTGCAATGGAGTCAACATCAGTGAGGTCGAATATAAACATGGACTTATAGCCTCCACACATATGCGGTATATCTTCCTCGGGACAAAAATTATCACCCAACAAGATTCTCAACAGGCCTCCGTCTAACATCTCCTAGGAAGAACGCCGTCTCCCACGAGTGCTAAACAGTTATTTGTTATGCACAAACACGTCGATTCCTATGTGTGCCCAAACTACAGCTCTACTCCCCATCACATCAACATTTGTTTTCCTGTCGCACATCATACACAAACCTCCATCCAATTGACCTTTGGATCTACCCCCATGGAAGTGATCAGGTTTCTCCGTCTGGCCCCGGGTTGATGTTCAACCCTCATCCACCTCCAAACACTTCCCCACCCATGTAATAGTATTGTATATCCTTTCATGTCGCGTTACAACATTAACCACACCTCCTGCTGCATATTTCTAATTGGTGCTAAATCTTCTTTATTTATCTTTACAAAAAAGTCTTGTATCAGTTTTTGACAATAATCATTTTATTCTTTGAGAAGAGAGTCTCGTCAAGATTCATAAACGACAAATGTACATAGATCAAAACACGAACAACACAAACACATATACTTAGTATTTACTATAGAATGTGTTGTATTATATAGATTGGTTATTTTTATTATTATTGTAGTTTTTATAAACATAGTGTACACTAAGCCTAGATATAAGTTTGAATATTTGTTCCATTATATGTTTTCACATCAGTTTTTATTTTATTTTGTTTCTGTTTTTCATTATCCTAGCATGAATCAATGAATTTCAAATCGATTAAAAGTATAAGGTTAACAAATACTATAATATATACAGATTGCTTAATATTAACATTAGTTTAATGAATGCTATTCACATACTTAACATAGCTTACATTGACTATAGTTCTGGAACTATTTACAGATAAAAACAATTTTATTAATTATCAGAGTATGTAAAAAAGCTTAAACACAAATTTGCTAAAGACATGCAAACCAATTTGGCTCCAGATTGAGTCTAAAATGTAAAAAAAATTATAGTAAAACTTAAAATAACACTTCACAAAATTTAGAAGCCTAAAATTGTGGAATAAATAATATTTAAACCAAATGCACTAAGAACGATTGTTATAATACATATATGAAAAAAAATTTTCTAAGTTTTTCCAATGGATCTCAACGATCACCGATCACTGATCACTGATCACTGATGACTGATGACTGACAGTGACAGTGACTGATCACGTTGAGAGCAATATAAAATTTCAGCTACGTTTCGTTATCAATAAGAAAAAATATTTCACTTATAACTAATATAATAAAGGAACACTATACTTGATTTGTGAGGAGCAGGAAAGTGCTAGTGTGCTTACATTTGAGTCTAAGGACATAACAACTATAAGCTTATAAGTAATAATTAAAATTATTATCTACTTACTATGTATTCTTTTCAAGCATTAATCATACCTAAGAGTTTGATTAAGTCAAACATTCAATGAATGAACGAAATCTCAATTCTGTCTTGTGCCAAAAAATTTGGTTAGTTCAGGTTAGGACGACAATCCAAAAAATTTTAGGTTAGGACGATGCTTCTAAGAGTTTTGGATTAGAACGGTGTTCCTAAGAATTTTGGATTAGAATGGCAATCTCAAGAGCCAATCTATGAGCTACTTAAGTCGAACTTGTCTATTGTTATATACATGAAAATTGCACGCCATAAACGTTCAATTATCATTAGAGAATGTTTGCTTCTGTAGTTGGAAATTAATACGACTCGAAATGAAATCATCTAATCTATACTTTTAATATTATTTTGAACTGCATATTCACCGCTATTAATCACAGCTAAGATACGTGTGTGTAGCTGTGCTTAAAAAAAATTCTAAATCGCAAAAAACTTGGGGTTATGGGCGTCAATTGTTGGATGAAGATGAATCTGTTCTTATGTCAAAGAAATTTTTACAAATTAAAAACATTAAGACAATTTAAGCAGAGTCGTTGAATAAACATGATATCACCGTTTTTAAACTGAAGTTTTTTTGTTATTTGATTTTGAAGCTATATTTTCGAAATTATTACTATGAAAAATAAAGGTGAAACGCTCTCAAAAGCTACCGAAGTGCTTACTGATGAAAGTTTGTGCAGAAAGTTAACGACCCCTAGATGAAAATAAATTTAAAGACGTCATTACTAAATTCTTTAATAATTTGGCTTACAGCAATATTACTTGAACCAGGTAGCCATTATGTTCCTGCATGTCTACAAATGTATTACTAAGCGTTAAACATAAATACAAAGAGTCATATTAAATCTGACATCAAACAGATTATAAACATCCTTTTGAAACTATTTCAACTTTAGTCCGTAAGTTTGAAACTTTGAGAAGTTACTTGTTTAGTTATGGTCTATGCTTTAAGGGTCTAGTAGCATTTGACTGAGACCCGGTCGATCTTCGAATGTCCACATACGTCAAATTAGATTGTAATATGATCTTACACTCACTCTCTCATTCACATGAAATAAGTTCTATTAAATCCTATAGAGTTAGTAATCATCCTCAGATGCTAAAGCCTAATTAATCTGTTAATCCTCATAAAATAAATTAAATCACTAATTAAACCTATAAGAGGTTTTAAGCAATCACAGAGCCCAAGTATGTAATGTTTCTGTTTTTACATTCAGCAGAACATGCCGTGGGCTCTTGACACAATTGAGTATTATTAATTACCGCTGTCTTGTAAGGAACTTACGATGGAACCTCATAATTGTTTATTCATATGCAACAAACAAATTCACTTCCTCCAATTCTTTTAAAGCCGCAGAATCTTTCTAATGAGTAAACAGCAGGAAACTCTGTTTACTCATAACTGGCATTGTGAAAGAAAGGTTTTGTTTTCGTATAAGACGATTCTACACGCCCCTCGAAGAATGAGAGTGAGAGTGCAAAAATCAAATATATTCCCCCCCTTAATATTTTTAATGGTATAGAATTTTTCATAGGAACGCACAAAATTATTTGAGCATTGTCTGGAATTGATATTAGCGAGCTTTTGAAGAGTAGAACTTTTGTCTAGGACGTTGTATGCTCTTCACAGTAACAAGGTTTCAAAAACCTTCTATTTTCTCGTTACCCTAGTTAAAAAAGAATCGTAAATAACTATTCATAAAGTATAACAATCAGACTTTTTATTAAAATAAGATAAAGACTAAAACATAAATTGCACTGACCACTGTCAACTGTCAATATTCCCTACAGTCTTAGCTGACAGAAGCCCTTTCTTATATAGAATTGGTGGGAGGAGTGGGGAGCACAACTGAAACCCTTTTCAAATAGTACACATGGAGCTTCTACATGTAAATTAAACTTCTATGCAATTTGCTAAAGTCTAGGACTTCAACTCATGCCAAATCCGCAAATAACCGCTGCTAGCTCCTATAATTCTTCAATTGGCTTGCAATGTTATTGATTAACGACAAGATATTTACAAGATATTAAGATATAGTCACAGATTTTCTTTACATGTTGTCAACAATTTTGATTTTTGAAAATTTTATTTTTAAATTTAATTTAAATAATAAAAGTCGTTATATCGCAATCGCCATCGCTTTGCAAACCACTGAAAACTAAGAGTTCTAAGCTCAAATAGGTCACTGGTAACATTTTTAAAAAAAATATCACGAAAACAAATACAAATTTTTGTGGTAAGAAAAAAAAAAACAAACACAAAAAAAGTATTACTAAAATAAAGGCTTACAAGTCATTGGAGTCAATAAGCTCGGCGATTGGTGCAAGCTGAGTTGTACTGTGTACGTTTGGAGTGTTGCTCCGACCGCCGCCACTTCCTATTGACAGCGGTGACGACGAGTTATGCCCTGCTGCCGCAGCCGCTATGGAAACACAGCGTGAGGCATTCGTGCTGGAAGAAACAGATAATGCATTGGATAGGCTTGGAAATTCATCTGAAGAATCTGAGAAGATATCCGGCGTAAAACTATCCGGTGATGTTACAATTATCGGTGATAGCGTAATAGATTGAGAGCTAGTCGATGAGTTAAGAGGCATGGCTTGTGTTAAAGAGCTTGTTGTGGTGTGTGGACTGGAAAGTGAATGCAGGGTGATGAAGTTGTTATTATTTGAGTTGAAATGCTGTTGAACATGAGACGTAACAATTGACGTTTGTCCATTTGATGAATTTACTACTTGTTGCTGCTGTTGTTGTTGGTCTTGTGTTGTGAAAAGTTGCGTCAATGTTGGGGAGAAGCTAGTCGTGAAAGGTGTGTTTGCAATAGATGATATACTGCTGCTACTGCTTTGACCACCACTCTGCAGCTGAGAAATTGTTTGTAAACATTGAATTCCGGGCATCTGATTAGTACTTTGAACAGTTGACCCCGTAGTCAAAACATTCACCACTGCAATATAAATATATTTTTTAATAATATCTAGTGATGATAATATAATAATCTAGTGTGAAACTTACCTTGATATTTGCCCTCAGAGTTTTGTATAAGCACTGATTTGCTTTGAAGATTCTCCAACTGTAACATGCTTGATGGTTGTACCACTTCGTTTCTTGAGAGTCCACCATTTAACGGATTTAAGTTTTGAACTTGCTGTTGCATTTGCGGAGTATTTTGCTGTAAGCTGAGAATGGGTATCAAAGCTCCTGTTGTCGTTGAAGTAGTACTGGATACACCAGCACCTGACGACGTCATATTCATTTGATGCCCCCTTGTTGCATTGTTAAATGTGAATTCGTCTAGTTGATTTGGTGATTCCGTTTGACTGTTCTCGCCATAGGACACTATTGTGGATGTTGGTAACGTTGATGTGGACCTTGTTGTTGCTATTGGAAGTTCACTTGGACTAAGTCTGGAGTTATCGTCAGCCATCTGAATTTCATAGCAGGCAAGTTCAGGTATAACTGGCCGAACTTTGTTTCCGTCCGGACGATGAGGATTACGACAACCTCGACATTTGCAACCAATACAAGATTTAGAGTCTACATAGCATGGGCAACGCTGTCCACAACAAGTTAATTTACCAGGTGTAGGAGTGGCATTCCCGCAACGGCATCCCCGTTTCTTACTGCTCGTCTTTGTGTTTTGTCCAAATACTGTTGACGAAGACGAGGATGCACTCGTATTTTTCTAAATTGTAGAAAATATTTTTTTTTAATTAATGGAATTGTGATTAATTAATAAAATTAAAAAAATTAGTATCTAGCATAAATATGATTGTTTGTTGATATATATATTATATTAAATTAACATGTTATTATGGGTTATGGCTATTGAAGTTTTAGTGAAATGTGAATAACTCTAAGCTAACTGAGATTCCCTAAAAGGGGGCATCAGATAAGATTGATATTGAAAGAAAACTTTTGATATTGCTTAGGCCTAACAAAGTTTTTTTCTTGCGGCTGCAATGTCAAAAAATATAAAAATAAAATAACATAACGTAGTTAACTTTATTTTACAACAAAAAATTAAAATAAATTAATTCTTTAGATTTCATAATTTTAAAAAACGTATATACAATAAATTGAATAGGAGAAGTATTTTAAATTGTAGTGACAATAGTACATCTGTTTTTGTTATTGTTTTACGATATATAGATAGTTCTCTACGAGAGGATTTAGCTATTTGGCTAAGGCAAAATTATATATACAGTAATAGCATATAGAGATGACTATTTATAAGATTAAAAATCTTATTTACAATAGTTGTATATAAATATGTTGAATTTAATATCAATATGCCTTTAATACTTATATATAAAATTAATTAATTATTATCTAATAATAATTTAAATGTCATACTTATAAGACATAATTGTCTTATAAGATTATATTTTAGATTATGATTATATTTGCATAGCCTCACAAAATGTGAAAAGACATAAACGGATAGTAATTAAAATACTAAATTTAATATATAAATGTACAAAGGATTTTCATTCCCAAGAATATGGTCCCAAATAAGCTTTCACAAGAAAAAACCTATGTTTGAAAATATCTGAGTAATATGGTATTGCGTTCTATATAATAGCTATACTATTGTATTCTCATGCTATAATTTTAGATATCCATATCGAAAGTTGATTGGTTTGTGGAACACTCTTACCCTTTGAGTAGAATCCTCGTCGCCATCAATTTTTCTTTTGATTGTGATTTTATTGCCGATGCCTGTATATAATACTGAGTACATTGCAGAACCATTTGATACTGTTTTGATTGGTGGTGGATTCAAAATCTGCTGTGACGTGATTGTTGCTGTAGTGGGCGTTGTGGATGCAGAACTATTCGCTTTGGGTTGTATAGTGCGAAATGATGCACCGCTCAATGATACTTTTAAAGTGAGCGGCGGATGGGTCTCACTACTTGTACTCGTTTTTGATGCATTTGAAGATACTATAAAAGCATTTCGCGTTGATCCAAGTTGCCGATTCAGACCTTGCAATTTTGATGAAGCAATAGAGAGAGGCGTTTTTGATACTGGTGACGAACCGACTGTAACAACAACGTTAGACATTTTAGATTCAGTTGTGGATGCCGTAACGGATTTTGTGCTCAAATTCGAGAGTATAGGTAGCTTGACCGTCGGCGATAGATCCATTATACTTTTTAAATGCTTTAACGTTAGAGTTTGTGTTTGTACTGTAGTGGTGGGTAGAAGAGGAGGTGATGTTGTACTATTTGGATTAATGTGCATACGTGGTTTTACAAAATGTGTTGATGAGCTTATGGGAGGAGTAGTTGTATTAACTATGCTTTGAGATACTCCATGTATGTGTACTGTTGAAGCAGGTGCCATAGGTGATGTTGCTGATGCTGACGCCGACACTGACGAAGAATTTATCAGCGTATGCGACGAACTTACTGGAAAGTGTAAATTTGGGATAATAGCATGCGGCAGGTCGGCATTAAAAGCATTTAATATATCATCATAGTTGGCTCCTTCCAGTACGAGTTCTTGTGGTGACATATTCGGCAGCGGCAAACTACAACTGATACTATTTACTATATTACTTAATTTTAATTTACTCAGTTGATCAAACATTGGCGCGCCGGTTAAAAATTCACATAAACTTTTGTAGCAGACCATTAGGCATCGCATTTGACGATTCTCATCGTATGTTTTATAATCCTGACAATCCCTGCAATGTATACACAATGGACGGAGTGATTTCTGCCCATGTATGCATACTCTGCAAACGTTGTGCTGACATCGTTTATTTCTCGGTCCATATGGATCGTTCAGTAAACGACAACATACAACACAGGAGAGCAGTTGGCGCAAATGCGACAGTAGACGATTCAAATCATGCAACTGTTGCTCACTCTGCACTGCAACACTTTCAGTTTGTAGCACTAATTGAGCCGTGGATACATACACACAAACAGCGTTCATATTGTACCAACGTTTCGTATATATCCTAACAAAAACATATTTTTCGTTAAAAATAAAAAAAAAAAATTTGCATTTCTTTTACCTTTTTATATTTTCAGTAAACAGCCTAATGTTTGCACTGTTTCCATAATTATTTTTAGTATACAAACAAAAAGAATTTTCTTATATATTTTCAATATCAACACATGAAATCGATGATCCGGCCGGCGCAAGTGCCAAAACTTGATACTTTTTAACTATTTTATTAATACTATTTCCATTATGTCTAATTAATTGTAAATTGCACTTGTTATTGCGTTTAATTGGTTTGTTGTAATTGAACTTCGGCGATTATAGCACGGCAAATCGTCCTTTCGATTTTTACTTAATTAATTTTTCTGTGTACACTGGCACATATCTTAACTCGTACTTTTGTTTTTATGGTATCATAATTGCTTAAATTTGTATAAATGTAATATATTCTTAAGCTTTTAATTATAATTAAGCCATATTTCACTTGCAATTCACACCAATTCTCTTCTTCAATCTTTCTCCTCCGTTTTGTTTTCTGCAAAACAAACGAATTGAACGAGAACAAATTATGTGCACGAATGTCAAATAATCGCGTATTCTATGAATTTTCAATGTTTTATGTTTTGTATTTTGCGCACTCTTACTGACTGACGATGACTTCCCTCCATAGGAAGCCATCTGTTTTCATAGCAGTAATTAATTTTTTTACAATTGCAGAAAATAAATTATGAAACTATTTAATGCACTATTCGGAATTAATTTTTTCTTTTACTTTGCATGCAAAATAATTTACTTTATTATGAATTAGTGTCAATGCGAAGTGAAATTTATGACATATCAACGAGTTGCCAGATGCTGTATTTGCTTAACTATGAAATTATTAAAAATTTCATTTATACAATATATTATGTTTACGTATTGTCTTATCGATATGTCTTTTAGCATACTTTTATATGAATTTTGTACGAATAATGGTACATAATCCAATATATTTGTGGATTTAAGTACAATAGTCCAAAGAAAGCATAAGATTAAAACGTTGCCTATATAAAACTATGTATAAAAATATATTACAAACAAATTTATTTGTTGTGCCAAAATGTATTATAATAATAAAACGTTTTATATGTATATACATATGGAAGCAAACAATATTTTAAATACTTGTTTCGGACTAAAAACTGTAGTAAAACTAAAATAATAATCTATCCAGAAGAGCGTTAGTGTATATAATTATATTTTTAAAAATATATCTTTTGTTCAACAATCCTTAAAAACTATTAAAAAAATTAAATATACTTTTAGTCTTACTGTCCGTTAATAGTGACGGAATTAATTAAAGTTTAACCGATCCTTGCTAAGGCCTTTTCTTTTGTAGGCATGTCGCAAAAGAACAATATAAAATAAGCATTATTTTTAATGGCAACTCTAGAAGAATCGGAAATTTTGTTAAGCTTATATATGCAAAACACGTAATAAAATTTAAAGTTAATGTTTCGAAAGTGAATAGTTTCTTTGCAATTATGGGTAAAAATATTATATATTTTAGGTGTTGCGAATAAAATTTGTGTTTTTAGGCTTTTTCAATAATTTAGTATAATTTTAGTAAATTGAAAAGAATTGAGTATTATTTATCAAATATTTGTTAACAGTTAACTACAAATTTTGTACGTACTTCCAAAAATCGATCACAATAGACGAATTTTTAGTCTTGGTAACCATGTGATTTGAGTTGCTTATAATTTAAGCAGTTTACGATATAGCATACGATATAGTTGTAGTTAATATTAATAAAATTATTGTAAATAATCTGCATAGATACAAGTACATCAAACTAGTTTTCACTAAAAACTATTTGCATTTGTAAGGGAAATAATTATAAAAGTTGTACTATTGGATTTATTTATTCTTCATTATTTTATTGCTAGCTCTGGAACATAAATAAATTGTCATTATTAATTTTATGAAGCTCTAAAATTGATTTTTTCGTTAATTAAGTATTAATATATGTACTATGAACGTACTATTAAATATAAAAGTGGATTCAAAAATTTGAAGAATTGAGTTTATGATATTGGGTACTACTTTAGTTTTCAAAATAATTTTCTATGATACCAAGAATAATTAGTTTAATTGCTAAAGCAGTAAGAAATATATAACAAGTTTTTCATTTCATACTGCCATGTATACGAAAACCATTACATTAGTCAACGTATTTCATTATCTATTATTTTATGCAGTGCTGTACTGAACAGTTCATAAATAGACTTTAATTTATATCCAATATTATTAGCTGTAGTATAAGTTTTGTTTAAAACTTTTTTGATAAAACAATTTTAATTTTAAAACAATTTAAAAGACTGATAAGTATTTTAAATATTAAAAAGGTGTGTACATCATATCATGTACTTTACGTATAACCTAATATTCCTAATCGAAACCAAGGAAACTAATACATTATCATTTTATAAATCTCTAAATGGAAAACAGCGATTAAGCAGGTTTTTACCATTGATTTTCATTATATGAAAAGTAACTCATAACATTAATCTGCGTTATGTTTTTTGTTTATAAATCTTACTTGTTTCCATATTTTGGTATCAGTGACCACACTTGTAATAATTGAATTTCAACAAATTCTGACAATTTTTTATAAAAAGTTTACATAGTCTGGCAACAATAAATTTCTGTGTGCGCAAGTAGTGAATTAAAAAGAGAAAACTCGAACAGTGTTGCCAGTATGGCTATTGACTGCAATGCAGCTCATTAGGTTAAGAGTATTTATTTTGAAAATTTTTCTTTAAAGGAGTGTCTTCATAGAGATTTTTTTGCTAATGTTATTAAATCAGTTTTTCCTTTTAAAACATAAGATTTTTTACGTGTCATACTCTCTTCTAGATATAATGTCCCGATGTCCATTGAATCAAATAACTTGCATAACCTTTTAAATTTTAAAACGAACATCACTATTATTAGATAGTCTATACATCTATCTTTCCAAAAAGGCACAATAAATAAAGCATATGATAATGCAACTGCAAAATACTAATACTTTTTAACTAAGTAGACTTTTGGGTGACTATAAAGCTGTTGTAGATTTTGCCGAATATTCGCCATTAGTAGTGTTTTTTAATATGTTTTTTTTCAGTTTAATTGTCCGTATATAATTTTTAGACTGCAAATACAAATGCTTCGTTTTCACTACAACATTTTCAATGTCAAATATTGTCAGTATAATGAAAACGGGTAGTCATAAGATGTTATATTCGCATTCTTGTCATGTAATGAAAACGCATTTGACACTCTAGTAAATCATAATTGTCATTTAAAATGACATAGTGGAAACAACACATAAGGGTTTAACTATATCTGTTTCAAATTAAGAATGCATTTAGAATGACTTGTTTTCTTCAAACTTGAAGATTTGTCGATTTGTTGGCTTGCAACAAATGTGACGTTGGATTATGTAAGCTGTTTATGCCTACTGTTTATGTGTAATCAATATCCTATATAAATGTTAAGTTCACCTTTCATTCAAGTTCAAGTTTCTTCAAGTTTCTGGCAAGTTGAAATTTTTTTATTCTGAATATTTGACACAGACTACAAATGACTTACAGATACGTCCATTACTTGAACATTGTTAAACAGTAATTTTTGTCTTGGTCACACTGACAACGTCTTGTTCGAAGAAGAAACTTCTGAGTTCTTTTGAAACTCAGAGCCAAAAGTCATTAATCTGATGTTACATCAGTTCGGGGTATACTTTGGTAATAGAGTTGAACACTGTTTTAAAACAATTTGACTCAGACCATCACAATAGTATTAATATTTTATACAAAGTGTTACTATAAAGTGATTTGGTGTAAAAATGTTATGTATTAAATATTTCAGTTTTTAATAATAGAATGTTCAATATAAGGAATAAACAGTCGTTTTTTTTTATATATGCTTAGAAAGGCAAGGTATGAAAAAAAATTCCATTAGTCTGTAAGGAATAGTGTTATAAGATGAGATAAATTCAGGAAGATGAGACTCTACTAGTGCTTAAGAAATAGTTCCATTTGGATAATACGCGATTTTTAATGCTATGGTAACTGATCTTTAGGAATAAAATTAGTTATACTTGCTTTTAGATCACAAGTTCAATATGTAGGTAATGTCCTTTGTACATGCTCTATTCGGCATATATAAGAATGTCCTTACAGCATTCGATAAGTACTGGAAAGTGATCTGAGCATTATAACTTAAGTGTTTTCACATTATTTTTTAATACACAGCTATAACTTTAATTTTTGAAAGAAACTTTTATAGGGTTAGTTTATAAGTTGCTCTCACTTTTGACTAATGATTTATTGTTTAAAATATTACATTTAATCCGATTCTCTAAAAAAAGACAAGTAATTTTCTAGGATTCAAAGTTGCGGACTTTTCTGGTGATATGTGCGTAGCACTTAGCTGACCACTTAATAATGGACATTCTGTTAGTACATGTGTTGGCGTCTCTGGTATGACTAGGTGAACCGGCAATATTTGTTTCCAGACAGATTTGGGATTATATAGGGATCCTTTGAGTTTGTGTGGCTCACTAGGAAATCGACACTGTATTCTAGATCGATTTTTGTTAAGTATTTTGGTCATTACAACCTTGAATGTGAATTTGAGATTATCTTACCCTGGTTGACTATACCCGTGTAAAGATATTGTAAAATGTTTGACAATCAAACAAAACAATTTGGGATCAAGTTCCAAATTTTTTCATTTTTAGTTTACTCTCATATTACCGTCATGAATATTAGGTATCCTGAATAGTTGTAGATATACACCTATTCCATTTAAATCTCTATTTGATATTTTTAGAAGAGTTGATATTGAAACGCTAAATATCTCCTTAACCAGTTAAGATCTGATTATTATCTAGCCTAGTCTGATTAGCATTATCAAATACATTAATATTTTTGCTGTTTCTTTTTCTTGAAAACTGATACATGCAAATTATTGAACTATCCAGGTCTGATAAATGTTTTGAATAATTTTCGACTGAAACAGATTTGACCAATATACATCAACCCCAGCACCATTGAAAATTTGCATTTCATGTTTTATGTATAATTTTCAAATATTCATCCTTTCTTTTTTCCTAATCGAAGTTTCAAGTTCTGTGATATGCTCTAAGACCTTCACAATTTCATCTTTCAATATAGTCAACACTGAATACGTTACTTAAGCTATTGTGTGACAAATTGATTATTGAGTTCTGGACTACGATTTGCAGACAGTAAGTGTTTTATTGATAATTGAGTTATGTAATGCATGGTCTTTTGTTTTATAATGTCTATTTTTTATAGTAAAATAATGATTCCTTGACAGTTGGCCTGCCTAATGTATAGGTGGTGGGTTCAAAATAAATGATCGTGGGACAATTTCTTATAGGGTCAGTCATTTAGAAACACATCAATCTTTGTAATGTTAAATTTTTTATGGGGATTTGGTGCACTGCACTAAGCTACGGACTCTGATGTTCATATGACTATTTTTGAATAATGTACTCATAAATTATGAGGCTTATATTTTCTTCGCAATATTTTTTGCATATTTACAGGACTATCCGAAGTTTTGTGAAAGGCTTCAGAAATATTTTAGTTCTAGTTTTTGATTTCTGAACATGTTTCTCTATATTTCTGTTGAAAGTAAACCTAAAAAGTTTATATATCGAGAAGTGCTCTACTCTTCATAATAATCTTCATCGGTGTACTAAA